GATATGAACTTTATGAGCAACCCAGCATGTAGAGAATAAGGTTTACTTTGCCAGCCACCCACTCCTTGAGAGGACAGTAGTATTCATAGTGAAACTGCTCAAACTCGGGCGTCTGGCGAATTTCACATAAGAAGGAGAGATCAATACCTGACTCCAAAAGGAGGAGGAGCAGGGGGAATACAAAGAGCAGCAGCCCCAGGCCCACCACCAGGAGCCTGGAAAAACTCTTGACCAGTGGGTTCACCCGAATATGGCTGCTCAGAATGTCATAGCTCCACGACAAAGCTTGGTGAGCCTCCTTCAGCTCCTCTTCTTCAGCCATCAAAAAGGCATTTTCATCTGCTTCCAGTTCCTCGAACGAATCTGTGTCTTCTCTTTCCAGCTCCAGCCTAGATGGACAGTCAAAGAGCATGTCAATCTCGTCATCGTCAACGGGAGTGGGGAGCAGGCTGGCACTCGGGTTGTATGCCAGTTCAGAGATGGTCAAGGGCTCTTCTCTTATTTTATCTTCCTCCTCGCGAGGGGGCTTCTCATACTCCCGGGCTTCCCTCACTGGTGAGCTGGAGATCAAGGGGGCAGAAATATCGTCTTCTTTGGGTAAGGGAATACCTGTAAAGAGATATTTTTTTCTTAATTTTAAATTTCAGGTTTTCTTTCTCCACCAAGATCTGTACATGGGAACAAACCAAAAAAATAAAAATAAAAAAAGAATGGAATTCAAGAAATATATGAAATTGTTCTGTGGAATCCTGACTTTTAACAAAGTCATTTTAGTAACAGATACTGTACCATAGATTCTAAGGTCAACATGCTAAACCCAAAATAAGCAACACACCTCAAATGGTTGGCAGTATTTACTACATTTACATGTGCAATTATGGTCTGCAAACCAACTTTGGTCATGTCTGCAAGAATAAAACGACGATAAATCACTATTATGTTATAATTATGAATGGTGTCTTTTAGAAGTCAACACTGTCATCCAATAAAGTATTACAGTAAAATATAGAATCTACTATCCAGTGACAATCACTTTATTATTATTATTATTATTTGTGAGGAAGACTGGCTCTGAGCTAACATCCATTTCCAATCCTCCTCTTTTTGCTGAGGAAGATTAGCCCTGAGCTAACATCTGTGTCCATCTTTCTCTATTTTGTATGTGAGATGCCACCACAGGATGGCTTGATGAGTGGTGCGACAGTCCGCGCTGGGGATCTGAACCTGTGAACTTTGCCAAACCTGCGAACCCTGGGCCGCTGCCCCGGGCGGAGCGCGTGAACTTAACCACTATGCCACCGTGTGGCCGCTACCACTTTATTATTTTTATGTATTGTTTTCTAGTCTTCATTCTAGGCACAATTTCGTGGTTTCTATTTTTATATAATTGCAATCATATCATATGCACAAACTTACATCTTGCTCCTTTCATTTAACATTTTAGACATTTTCTGTTGACATGAATTCCCATTGGTATTATTTATTATGGTTGCCAAATTCTCTCTTTAGTTAATACAATAAATTAGTTGCCTACTGGCAAACATTTAGATTGCTTTGCAGTTGTAAAAAAAATGCTATGA